TACAGGAAAATAGGGGGGAAGGGGATAAGAGAAGGGAGAATGACAGAAGAGAGGGCAGATTGGGGAAGGGGGTAATCAGAAGCAAACACTTTTGAGGAGGGACAGGGTCAAAGGAGAGAATAGAATAAATGAGAGGCGGGATAGGATGAAGGGAAATATGGTTAGTCTTTCACAACATGACTATTATGGAAGTGTTTTGCATGACTACACCTGTATAACTTATATCAAATTGCTTGCTTTCTCAGTGAGGGTGGGTGGGAAGGAGGAAGAGAGAGAATTTGGAACTCAAAGTTTAAAAAACGAATGTCAAAAGTTGTTTTTACATGCAACTGGGAAATAAGATATACAAGCAATGGGGTATAAAAATTGGTCCTGCCTCACAGTAAAATAGAAGGGGAAGGGGATAAGAGAAAGGGTGGTGGTGATAGAAGGATGGCAGATTAGGGGAAGGGATATTTAGAATGCATGCCATCTTGGGGTGGGGAGGGGAGAGATGGGGAGAAAAATTGGAACTCAAAATCTTGTGGGAGTGAATGTTGAAAACTAAAAATAAATAAATTAATTTTAAAAAAGGAAAAAAAAAAAGACCTAGAAAATTGTGGCAACATTTTGCCTCACCCTGGGAATCTTTGTAAGGTTTTTCTTTTTTTTTTCCCAGGGCAGGGACCAATTTGTGAGTGTGACTATAGTGAATCTCCCTATAGAGAAAAGTGAAAGGTAAGAGGGAGAATTGAAGAGGCAAAGAGAGAGGCAATGAGTGGGTTTAAATGTATGAGAAATTCAGTAATGCTAAGCATAACACTACGACTTTTTATCAGTTAACAAATATTTTTAAGCACCTACTATGTGCGAGATGCTTCATTAGGTATTGGAGATGCAATATAATGAATGAACATTCCCTACCTATAAGGAATTTACTATCATTCTGACATCCATCATGCAAATGCTTAGCAGAAATATTTCGTTTTATGCTGAAGGGAATGGTTAGAGTATCTTTGGCTAATCAAGATGTGATTGATTTGATAATTATCACATTTATTATTTGCATATAGACAAACTCCTGGGCCAATGGTAGATCTTAGGGATAGGACTATAAGTAAGAATTGAAAAAATCAAGCCAAAGGCTAGGAATAAAACATACTGATATGTTAAGAAGATGGTATGGACCCAGAGGAACAAAGCCGCGGGTCAATTTTAAGCAAATAATCAAGAGACAATATGGTGAAGACAAGGCCTGCCTCAGATAGGAAGCCTTTTATACTCTTCCATTAGAACCATGGTTATTTAATTTTGTTGTATATGTCCATTGTCTGGTATGGGTGGTTCAGTTAGCAGGATGCTCAGTGGACCCTTACCCATGACCACACCAGCATATTTGTGCTAGCTGGGGATAATAAATACAAAATACTCCAATAAAAAGGCCCCAAATTTGGAGAATCAAGTGGATCCAGACAGTCAACTCCCTGGGACTCAATGAATGTTGGCTTCCTAATTTAATTCTGATTTCCTAATTACATATTGAGTCTTTCAGCTGTGAATCTCTCTATCTGGACAAAAATTCTGAATCTAGCCTTTCCACTCATTTCAGCCCTGGATCTCTGGGCTCCACAGACGTCTTATTATGAACACAGTTTGGCTTTTCAATTTGGACTTGCTCTTTTCTTCACTTGGACCCTGCATCCTTAGCCCTGGGTAAGGATTATTCCTCCTCCCAACTGCCCCATCCAACCTGATGGTCTGCCTAATCACTTGGAACATTGTGGTTCTGCCTGGAACAGGTGGTACAGTAATGGGAGAAGATTATCTAATGCCATCAGGTGACTGTCCAGACAAGCTCAAACTTGATGGCTAAGTTTAAGCCCAGCAGAATTGGAACCACTGCATTGTTTCTGTTGCTCACCAGACAGGGGGACTTGGCAGCATATGGGTCACCTGCCCAAACACAGCACACTAACCATCTCTACCAAGTAAGTCTGGATCGAATCCTCTAAGCATTAATCACAACCCACAGATCAAAGTCCCTGGCATTTCCACAGTTACACTGGTCTTCTCGCTATTCCTTGAGCAAAATACTGCATCTCCTGACTTTGGGCATTTTCACTGACTGTGTCCTCCATGCCTAGAATGCTCTCTCTTCTCATCTCTGCTTCCTGGCTTCCCTGACTTCTTTCAAATTCCAACTAAATTACTGTTATCCCTTCCACATTGCGGGGATTAGGGGCTCAGCAACTCCAAGATCTGGAAAATCTGTGTAAAATTTTTTGGGCCTCCTTTTCTATCAGAGAAGAAGTCTGAAATTTTTATTTTTCTTTTATAGGATGTTTACAGTACCTTATTGTAAAATTTGGGTTAAGTATTTGGTCACAGACTCCGTGTCATCTGCTAGCCTTTGTGTGTCATCTGCGGCTTCTTGAAAACTCCCCCAAAATTCCCATTTAATTTCTTATGCCAACTCGCAATATGTTGAAACCATGATGGAGAAAGTCAAGATATGGAAGGGACAACTGTAATTGTTTGCACACTCTTGTCTCCTTCGTTACACTGTGAGCTCCTTAACAGCAAAGAATCGAATTTTTTTTAACCTTTCTTTGTACCCCCAGCATTTGGTAGCACAGCCCTGACATATAGTAGGTGCTTAATAAATGCCATGTCCACTTGACTTCCCAGTGTGGCATTCTCTGCCTCTAGGAATAGGAGAGCCAGTTCCAGATGGCCATTAGATAGAACTCTATTTATCATCAAGTACAAAGATGGTTGTGTTCTGAAGGGAAGGTTCCAAAGGGACACAGTTGGCCCAGTAGTCAACACTGATTTTATAGTCTATTAAGTTTGTTAAGATTGTCATCGAGGTGTTCAAACTTGGGAACCACCAAAAGATCTAGCAGGGGGGATATAGCAGTAATAGAGGAACTGGTATCAGCTAAGGCCCTTGTCTGATCAGTCTATGATCACACATGTACCTGCATGTCAGCCTACAGGTAAACCTGCTGAGCTAGGAATGTACCCCATGATACATCTGAAGATAAGATCCAGATTATCTTTCAAACCAAACCTGATATAATTACTCAGTATCCTGTCACATCGAGCCAGGGTTATGTAAAGAATGGATTGCAAAGAATGGACAGCCAATTAGAAGTGGGTAAGCCCAGGCAAAGTTTAGAATTCGAATTTCTGGACATGTTGAGAAGATTCTATGACTTTCCAAGATGATGGAGATTCAGGAAACACTCCAAAGTCAAAGGTCAGAATGGCATTGTAAGCCAAAGGCAGGCCAGCTGGGTAGCATAACGGATTGAGTGCTGGGTCTGGCGTTAGGAAGACCTGAATTAAGTCTGGCTTCAGACTTTGACTAGCTGTGTGACCCTGGGCAAGTCCGTTAACCTTTTTATACTTCAGTTTCCTTAACAGTAAAATGGAGATAATAATAACATCCACCTCCCAGGGCTGTTGTAAGGTTCAAATGATATAATATTTGTAAAGCACTTAGCATAATGTTTGACACATAGCAGGCACTTTAAAAATACTTGTTTCCTTCCTTCTTCCAACAAGAGCAGGTGAGATAGGGTGGGAAAACACATGAGCTGATTTCATATGTATGATGGAGATCATGTTTCTTGCCTTCTCAGTTTGGTAGAGGAGGGGGGTGGAAGGAGGGAGAAAATTTGGAGCTGAAAATAAAAATTTTTTAATTAAAAACAATATAATCCTGCCATCCTAATCCTGGCAGAGGTAGGGGTGGGGGTGGGAACTTGAGCTTGGGAGTCAAGAAATCTTGGATCTATTAACAACTTTGCCACTAACTAGCTCCATCTTAAGCAAGTCACTTTAAACTCTTTGGGTCTCATCTGTAAAATCTGTATTCCTCATCATCTGTAAAAATGAATGAATGAATGAATGAGACTAAATGATCTCTCAAGTCCCTACCAGATCTTAAACTCTATGACTGAATGATTTTGGACATGTAGATGCTAGAAACCAAAACTGAGTGTTGGGCTGAAAGCAATTAAGTAGCCAGGCAAGTAGTTAGAAGAAAAACAGATACAGCAAACCAGAGACACCGCCCCCCAAAATGAGGTTTTCTGCAGAAATGAATTCTTAAATATTCATCCTTCTTTAGTAAGCACCAATAACTGACTTCTCAGAGAGGCATGACCAACCAGGAGGTTTAGGCTTCTGGAGTGGAGCAACTTGCCACTCTGGCAAGATTCTGTTGTCAATCAATTAATTAATTAAATGATTGGTTAATTATTCTGCTCTCACCATTCAAGCATTTCTATAAGGAAGGAAAGGGAGAGTTCCCTAGAGTTTAATTAAAGAGTCCAAGGAAGGGGAATTAATAGGAGTATAAAACATTAATAGTAGATACTATATTAAGTCTTAGAGAGATAATTGAGTGTTACAAGAAATCATGGCAGAGCTTCAAGAAACCACAAGTTCTTATAATAGAGAACAGCAATTTTAGGCTTTTCAAAGCTATAACTAGCAATTTTGGTGCCTGTGGCAAACAGTATAAATTGGGCCCCTGCCTCATGATATAAAAATAATACAAGAAATAATTAAGACCAATTAGATGAGTGGGAAGTAGTAATTAGTAATTAAAGTGACTCACAGATAGGTGTTATTAACAATGTCCTTGTAGCTATGGTAACAATGTCCTATTTTTAACTAATTATTCTTGCTAACTACATCTAAATTCAGTTGTTTCCAGCTGCTTAATAAATTAATGTGTTAAATTTTTGCTCCTGTCTAATTTGGGGGCCCTGGACAAAGTCCCAATTGGCCTGCCCCAGTTAGAGCTCAGAGTATATTTGAGGGTATAGCACCTGAGATTTAGAGCTAGAAAGAAGCTTAGAGATCATCTAGTCCAACCCCCTTATTTTATAAATGAAGAAACTGAGGCCCGCAAATAATATGACTTGCCCATTGTCACAGAATGGCAGAGATAGCATTTGAATCCAGGTCCTTGGACTCCAAATCCTGTGCTTTTCTTTCCACTGTACCACAGATAGGTGATAAAGTAATGGTGTTTCTACCCCTATGGAAAGATAGATTGAAGACTGCTTGGGAGGAATCCCATAATTTAATTATGGACAGGCTAGATGAAATCTATTCAGTTTTCTTGAAATCTTCAAGAAAATTGAAGTTGTCTGAGAATAAATCCTTAACCACAAGAAAGAAATTATTTCTGGGTGCCAGAATAGGAAAAGAAGAATTTTAGGAGATAAAACTGCTTAAAGGAAGATGTCGTGGAGAAATTAAAGTACATAGAATCAAGTCTTAGTCAGAAACAGGGAATTATATCTGAGATTAGAATGTTCACATATTTATACTTCATAATGATAATAATAACCAGCTTTCAAGATGGTACTTTTAGGTTTATAAAGCACTTTGAAAATAATATTATTTCATTTTATCCTCACATCAACCCTGAGAGGTAGATGCTATTATTATCCCCATTTTACAGGTGAGAAAACTGAGGCAGGCAGAGGTGAAGTGACTTGCCCTGGGTCACACATCTAGTAAATGTCTGAGGCAGCATTCAAACTCAGGTCTTCCTGACTCCAAATGGAGTGCTCTATTCTCTGCACTAACTAGGTAGAATTCCTTTGGTGTAATATGCTACAAATACTGGAAAATTACCATCCAATTAGAGAGGCAGAATCATGGAAATCATGGAAAGATCCCAGGATTTGGAGGAAGGAGAACTGGGTTCAAATTCTACTTTCTGACATTATATTATGTTATGTTATGTTATGTTATGTTATGTTATATTATATTATACCCCCACTGAATCTCAGTTTCATAGGTTTGGAGCCAGAAGGGACCTTGTTATTATTGTTCAGTCATGATCCCATTTTGGGTTTTCTTGGCAAGGATACTGGAGTGGTTTGCCATTTCCTTCTCCAGTTCATTTGACAGATAAGGAAACTGAGGCAAAAAGGGTTAAGTGACTTGTCCAGGGTCACACAGTTAGTAAGTTTCTGAGGCTGGATTTAAACCCAGATCTTCCTGACTCCAGGCCCGGCACTCTATCCACTGCACCACCTAACTGCCAGAAGGTCTTTTAGTTCAACTGTATTTTACAAATAAGGAAACTGAGGCTCAGAGAGGATAAGTGACTTGACCGAGGTTGCACTGGCAATAAGAAGCAGGGCCTGGAGCCAAACTCAAGTCCTCTGATTTCAAGGTCAGCACTTTTTCCATTGGACCTTTTTCCACTGGACCTTACCATGGTGACACCTAATAGGATAATACATGTAGGCTGGAAAGGACCTTAGAGGTCTTCTAGTCCCTTTCCTTAGTTTACGGATGAGGAACTGGGTCTGAGAGAGGTGAAATATTTTGTGATTTTTTTTGTGATGCTCACATAGGTACTGAGCAATAGAACCTTTATTTGATCTCAGATTTCTTGACTCCAAAACCAGTGAGTTTTCCACTATAGCACCAGAAGACCCTCAGATGCTCCTATCAGGGGATGGGAAAATGCTTTATAAACCTGAAAGCATGACCTACACTTAGCACAGTACCTATCACATAGTAGGTGTGCCTGTCACATAGTAAGTGCTTAATAAATGTTTATTGATTGCTGGCATGTGTGTTATTATTATTAGATTGCCAATAGGGAAATATTAGGTGGTCTCAGGAAAAGACACAGAGATGCTAAAACTTAGGAATGTCAGGCCTTCAGAGAGCTGCTAGGCTTCCCCATTAATCTTTATCCCCAGGCCAGATAGTACTACTAGATTTTGTGTGGATTAATGAAAGTCAAAATTTAAAACCAAACCTGATGCATCTCCTATACCCAGCATTGTCGTATTATTATGCATATTCACACAATGTTTGCCTAAGATATATTCAGGCAAAGTATGTTTTGCTGAAAGACTATTTTACGGAGAACTCATACAAGGTAAGTGCCCACATGGAGGTCAGAAGAAGCGATACAAGGATACTCTCAAGGTCTCTCTGAAGAACTTTGGAATTGATTGTGAGACATGGGAGACGCTGTTTGTCACAGGACCGGATTCAGCATGGCGTGCCTACATCAAAGAAGGTGCTATGCTCTATCAGCAAAACAGAATCGCTGTAGCTCAAAAGAAACAAGAAATGTGCAAATTTAGAGACCTCTCCACTCCAGATGTTCACGTGGACCATTGGTGCTCGACCTGGGATAGCGCTTTCAGAGCTTGTATTGGTCTGATCAGCCACAGTACCTTGGCTCCAACATAATGATGTCATTTTGGTCCTCTTCGAGAACAAAGAACAACAGCCATTATTATATGTATCAAATACAGCCAAAAATCATTTGGGTGATAGAATTAGGTGAAAGGAAGTGGCATTTGGAGAGAAGTTTAAGCCATGAATAGTCTTTTTAAAATCAGTCTAATGTCTAGCACTCTGATCTGAGGAATTCAATTGCCTCTTTCCAAGGGTTGGTCAATGGCTGATTTAAGCGAGTTGGACACAGGGGTACGCTGGAACTATCGGGCTCAAGATCCCATTGTTAAATTTTTAGTGTGAACATTGATATATTGGAAATCAACAAATGCTTGAGTTATTGTTTTGATCTTCTAGACTTTAAAAAGCAAATAGAGAAAATGTTAACAATGCAGATTAAATTTAAAAGTGGGTCATAATCTTAGGAGAGCTGCTGTTAAATATTTACCAACACACTTCTGGTTGGAAGCATCTGTCACAATGTACATAGATGACTTTGTTCCTTTCATTAAGAGACTCATCTATATGAGTCTCTGTAACTTCTCTGGGAGTGGCTGAGCACAATTTGTAAAGCTGATTGGATAGGGAAACTTATCTGGACTTTCAGAGGTCAAACGTTTGGGACACCAGTTAAGAAATGGTCCTGTCACTTTCTTCTGGGAGCAGGGGCTCATGTTTATGCCCAGAGGCAGCTGGTGGCACAGTGGATAGGGTGCTAGATTTGGAGTCAAGGAGACCCGAGTTAAAATTTGACTTCGGATACTTTCTAGCTGTGTGACCCTGAACGAATCACTTAATTTGTTTGCTTCAGTTTCCTCATCTGTAAAATGGGGATAATAATAGCAGTTACCTTGAAAGGTCATTGTGCGGATCCAATGAGATAATAATTGTAAAGCACTTAGCACAGTGTTTGGCACATAATAAGTGCTATATAAATGTTAGCTATTATTACTGGATAAAATTAAAACTATGCAAAAGCAGAGGCAGCATGGTAGTGTGTAGGAGCAGTGTTGTTCGACTAGAAAACTGTTGGATTTAGAGTCAAAGAATTTGGATTCAAAAGCTGAACCCAGTGCCACTTACTATCATTCTAAGTGGGCAAATTACAACCTTTCTGGGCCTCAACTTCCTTACTGGTAAGATGAGTAGTTAGCCTAAGTAATCCTTCTAAGTGTAAGTCTATTAACCCATTACTAAACTCCTATAATTAACAGACAATACCTATCCTTTTGGGGAATTAGCAGGGTGCTCTGGAAGTTCAGCCTTTCACGTTGGAATAATAGCAGCACAGAAAAGTAAATGCAATAAACTTATCTGAACTTCAGAATGTAAAGAAAGTTTTGAAATGTTAAATCTGTTTCTAATTTCTTTGCCAGACTTTCCAAAACACAAGACCATGAAAATGCAAAATACCGTGTTATAGAACTTATTAGAACATTACTGTTAAGAGAGAAAAAGAGTGCAATGTAGTGGATAGAGCACCTGGACTGAAATCAGAAAGACTCATCTTCCTGAGTTCAAATCTGGCCCCAGACGCTTATTGGCTGAGTGACCTTGGGCAAGTCACCTAAACCTGTTTGCCTCTCAGTTTTTCCCCATCTATAAAATGCATTGCATAAGGAAATGGCAAACCAGTTATCCTTGCAAAGAAAACTTCAAATGGGGTCACAAAGCATCAGACACGGCTGAAAACAACAAAGAGAGGGAAACAAACCTACAGGGACTTAAGTCTCAGAAATGCATGCACATTCTAGGAAGACTTGTTAATGTTAAGAAACAAATGTACATTATAAAGGAACATTCTAATTAAGGTCCATGTATAAGTTTAGTTTTAAAAGGATAAGAGAAAACCTAGAGATAAGTGAGAAAAATATCAAATAGTTCTTGTGGGTAGTGGTGTTATTTTTTTAAAGTCACTTAGAAGTCTTAAATGAGTTTGAATTAGATTTTAAAATAATAATACCCTGATATATACAAGGAGTGAAAAAACTTATGTTTAAATGATGCTCATGCAGAAAGCCATTATTGTGTATCATACAAAAATACGAATTTTCCAATTTAGACCATGTGGATATGGTACACTACTGCCCCCTTGTGGTATTGTGCAGAATTGCCTGCTCAAGTTTTTCTGAGATAGGGAATAAACATTTTTTGAAAGCTAAAACTACAAAATTTGTGTTAAAGAGAAAACAAATATCATAACAGCCATCTTTCTACTTCTCCTTTTTCTTTCCCTTCCTTTGTATCTGTCTGTTCTGCCTCCTCTCCTAGAGAGAGCTGGGTAGCGCAGTGGATAGAGTGCTGGGCCTGGAGTAAGGAGGACCTGAGTTCAAATTTGACCTCAGACACTTACTAGCTGTGTGACCCTGGGCAAGTCCCTTAACCACCTCTGTCTGCCTCAGTTTCTTCATCTGTAAAATGAGGAAAATAATAGCACCTACCTCCCAGGGTTGTTGTGAGGATTCTGGGCAAGTCACTTAACCTCTGTTTGCCTCAGTTTCCCCATCTGTAAAATGGGGATAATAACAGCACTTCCCTCCCAAGGTTGTGGTGAGGATCAAGTGAGATAAAAGAGCACTTAGCACAGTACCTTGTATATAGTAGGCACTTAATAAATGCTTATCTTTTTTCTCTGCTTGTCTCACTGTTCCTTTCTTTCTTCCATTACCCAGGAACTCCAGTTCTCAGCCCTCCCATTCAGAGGGCACCATTGCTCAGAGAGCAAATGAGGGTTCAGGACTCACCTTCGGTGTCTCCAGGTTCCAGGGCACTCTGGATGGAATGGACCCTGATGGTGGGGTCTGTGGGAGCAGGGGAGGATGGAGAGATGGCAGTAGATCTCCAAGGGGTCCCTTGGTTGTTCAAGGCTGCCCCCAAGAGTAGAGGGAGTGGGTCCTGAGAAGGGCAGGGGTTTACAATCCCCAATGGACCATGACGTTTCTCTTGTATGCACTGTTTAGATAGTAAATGAGGGCTCAGCAACAGGGGCTTGTCTCTGCTTTAACCCTGAGTATAGCCCAGATGGGTCCTACTATGTACCACTACTCCGACAGAGGGCCAGGTGCACAAAGCCAAGCCAGGCATGCCAACTCTTCCTCTTTTTTCCCTCTTGGAGAGAACTGGGAAGTTCTGGGTTTAGGGTAGATTCAGAAGGAAGGGAAGGAAGGTGAGAAAAAACTAAGAGAGCCTCAGGACAAGGACAAGGGAACAGAGCTGGAAGTCCTGAGGTAGGGCTGAAGAAGCAGAGCTGGACATCCTAGAGGGGAAACGATGAGGGGGCACACCGGGGGGGGGTCCTGAGAGAAGGGGAGGGGTACTGGGGGGAGGATGAGGGGCTACATTTAGGGATCCTAGTGAGTAGGGCATGGGGCCAGAGCTAAGAGTCTTGGGGACAAGGATTAGGAGGTAGATCTGGGCATCGTGAGGAAAAGGTATGGGAGTAGAGTGGGGAATCCTGTGTTGGAGGAGGATCAAAAGATCAACGCCAAAGATCTTAGGTGTAGACAGAACTGGGGATCCTGAGAGGAGGGCTGGGGGTGAGGAGAATACTGAAGGCGTAGAGCTAGGGATCCTGGGAGAAGGGATGTAGGGGCAGAGCTGCAGGTTCTGAATCCTCTGTGGAGGAATCTAAGGGCAGAACTTAGGACTCCCAGGCCTGGGGGAGGGCACGTGAGCTTACCTGACGAAGAAGAAAGATGATCCAGCCACCAAGCAAGAGGGTGGTGAGACCAGCTACCAGAATGTCTTGAGACCCAGGACCTGGGTAGAGATCTTGGGGTCCCTCCTCAGGCTGGGGCCCTGGCAGCCTCTCAAGACCCCAGGCCACCTCCTGGCTCAGGCTAAGAAGCTGGAGGGGTAGAGAGGCTCTTATCTTATGGGTCCTATCTTCCCTCCACCCAGGGCCCAATGTTGCTTTCAGTCTGTTTATTGACCACCCAGTGCAGGTGAATGGCTCTAAAGACCCTCTGAGCCTTCTCCTCCCCTCCTCTCCCTCCCCTTCCCTCTTCCCTCTCTTCCCTTCTGAAAACTGACCTCTTGGAAGAGGGTACGGGATGAGGCACTCTCTGAGGGGCTGATCTTAGCCATAGTCCCGGACCCAGAAGTGGGGAAGACCCTGAGCATGGTGGTGTGCAGAACAGGGGGAAGCTCATGGTGACCTGGAGTGGGGGTCAGAGAGGTCAGCTAGGGTCAGGAAAGTCTTTAATAAAGCCAGATTAACCTCTGGGTCTGAGAGGCACTAAAACCTGAGGTGGGGTGGGGGTGGGGATTAAGGGACTTGAAGTCTGACTCAATAGTATAATACGGCAGTCAAAAAAGCTAGTGGATCTTTTAAGTTAAGCTAGTAAAAACAGTATAGAACAAAGGAGTTGTTAGTCATATCATAATGATGAGGATGATAGCATTCATATAGCACTTTAAGATTTGCAAAACATTTTAGCTATGTTATCTCACTTGATACAATAACCCTGTGAGCTAGGTACTAGTATGATATTATATAATCATCAATATAATATTATATAATATAAAATATCATAATAGATAAGGAAAAGATTGAGATAGGGCAGGTGACTTGCCCAGGGTCACATAGCTAGAAAATGTCTGAGGCAAGATTTGAACTCTAGGCCAGTGCTCTATCCACTGCACCATCTTGCTGCCTCACAGGATCACAAATTTAGACCTGGAAGGGATATTACAGGTCATCTAGTCCAAGCCCTTCATTTTACAGATGGGGAGTTTCCCCAAAGTCACATAGGTAGTAAATGGCAGAGCTGTGATATGAACCTAGTATGACTCCAGATTTCCCTGGGTTAGTGGGCTCAGCTCTAGGTGCCACATCTTAGAAAGGACATGAATAAATGAGAATATCATGGACCAGGTAACTGGAATATGAAAAGAGACCATGCCATCTATGGATAAATGACCTAGAGAGAGCTCTGGATGTAGAACCAGGAAAGTCATGGATTCAAACTATGCCTCTGGCATATAACTAACTGTGTTAAGCCTCAGTTTCTTCATCTGTAAAACTAGGAAGTTAAATACCTTCTGGCCATCTCATCATCATGCTGCATTCACTCCTACCATTATCCCCTTACTTCTCTCCTGCCAGCTTTGGACTCCTAGTCTCTGAAAGGGGAGGTTTTTCTTTATCCTGTCTGAGTCAAGCCCTCCTGACCATCTCCACGCCATGCCACCTCCCTCCACTTTTTTCCAGCTCTCTTTCATGAATGGTCATCCCTGATTAGATTGTAAGCTCCCCAAAGGCAGGCGCTTTCTTGCTTGCTTGCATTTCTATCTCTAGCACTTAGCACAGTTGCCTGGCACATAGTAAAACCTTAATAAATCCTTTATCTTTCTAGTGCCTACCTCACCAGGCTGTTATGAGGATCAAATGCGGATGTATATAAAGTGCTTAATAAATCTGGAAGTGTTCCATAAATGCCAATTATCATCATTAGTGTAAGAGGCTGGAGGGACTGGGGATGTTAGGCTGCGGGAGATAAGACAGAGCTAGCTGTCTTCATTTATTTGAATGGTATATTTCACATGGAAGCAGGATTAGATTTGTTTCTCCTGGTTTCAAGGGAAAGAACTAGAAATGACAGGGAGACAGATTTTGGCTCAATATGAAGATCACAGAGACTCCACAGATTTAGAGCCGGAAGGGATGTTAGAGATCTAGTCCAACCAAGGAAATAGAGGCCCAATGTTGCAAAGGTGATTAGTGGCAGAATTGGGATTCGAACCTAGGTCTTCGGGTACTAAAGACAGAGTTCTCCTTCAGTTGGGCAGTCACCAAGCACTTTTTTTTTGCCAAGCACTGTGCTAAGTGCTAAGGATACAAATACAAGTAGACAGTGCCTGCCCTCAAGGAGCTTACATTCTAACTGGGGAAGACACAGAAAAGGAAGTCGTGTTCCCCTACCCCCATCCCAGGGAGGGGTGAAAGGAACAAGGGGGGATTTAAGAATGCAGAAAACTTGAATATGTATATAATCGTTGGAGCGGTTCTTCTCATCCCCAGAGTGCCCCCTCACCAATGAGTAGCCATGAGCTGTGGAGGGCAGTTACACTGCCAGGAGGGTATCTGACATCTGTGCTCGGCGTGACCTCCCGCTCTCCTGAGTCACTCAGAGTCACTCCCTCTGTGGTGGGTCCTTTCACCGTGGCCAGAGTGACTCCCCGGGGCTGCAGGAGGAGGAAGAAGGCCATGGAAGGAGCCCCTATTTAGTCATCTGCCCATTCCTCCCACTCATGTAAGGATTCCCTTCTCACCACCAGTGCCACTCCCGCGTGGACCAGCGCACTGGAGGCATAGAAACTGGCGGCATGCTTCCCCACATACAGAGTCAGCCTAGGGGAGGACAAGAGGGAAAATGGGGATGGGAGGAAATAGGAGAATGGCCCTCCTTGGTTTAGGGTGAGGGTGATGGGGAAGGGTACCTCACTTGGCCCTGGGCAGGGGAAGGTTCATGATGGAAGGTGCAAGGTGATCAGATTAGGGCAGGAGAATAGATGGGAAAGAAGGGGAAGGCAAATTCTGCTAGAGGTAGAGGTTGATGACTGATTTGTTCACTTTTCTTCCCAGCACCTACTGGAGTGGAATTCTCTAGATGGCATGATGTGGGCTGTGGGGGCAGCTAGCATGTTCCTAGGGTTCTTTCTGTTTTTGCCCTCCCTCCTTCAGGTGGTAGCTCCCTCTGAGCCTAGGCCCAGGTGTGCTAACTCCCCTGTGGACCACTGGGCACCTACAGCAACTGAGTCTCAGAAGTAGAGAAGTCCCTGCTTGCTGTTCCGGAGGGTTGGGCCCAGCACCTCAGGTGAATATGGTTGGAGCGAAGGGTGAGGAAGCGCAGGGTGTCTAGGGCCATAGTGAGGTGGGGTAGCCGGTGTAGACTGTCCTGGTGCCAGGCATAAATACCCGCTACAGGTGAGCCATAGTCATGTGTCCACAGAACTGCTCCATTCTCCTTGTCCACGGTAACCACCAGGCCCTCCCCACTGGATGCAAAGTGGCCCACCTCTGCAGAAACAGATACTGAGCTGCATGCCCCATTCTGGGCACATCTCTTGACCACCTAGGCTCCTTTTCCCCTTTCCTCCTGGGAGCTGGTCCTGGATGTTTTGGGTAAAACTGCTGGATGATGCTTAAGGGGCTGAGAATACTTGAGGGAAAATAAGGTCCCTCCCCCATCTCCCACTCAAGCAACACCCCAGGGGAGCGTCAGTCATTTCAGGGGCCAGGACTCATTCCTGGGAGTCATGGAAAAGATCAGTCGTCATCGTTCTGAGGCAGGCTTTACTTACGGTAGCCAGGCAAGTGGTCAAGGAGGGGTGCCGAGTAGCCTCTGAAGGTCGTGTTCCACTGAAGGGCCTGGGACCTGGGGTCATACATAGTGACCGTGTACTCTAGAAAGTGGTGAGTAGAATCATCCCCTTTCTCATGGCCCCCAGAAATGTTTTCTCTCCATGTATTTCTCCCTCCCACCCTCACCTCCCAACCCCCTCCTGAAGAAACCCATGCATCACAGATCTAGAACTGGAAAGGAATTCAGAGGTCATCTGGTCCAACCCCCTCTCTGTACAGACAATGAAACTGAGACCCTGAGGGGCTAAGGCTCTTGTCCAAGGTCGCACAGAAATTAAGTGCCAGGGGTGGGATTTGAACCCAGGTCTTTCCATTGTTCTGGAGCAGCTGTTCCTTCTTTTTTTCCTGGCTCTCTATCCACTAATGGCAAGTGTCCCTCAAGACTCTAACATCAACAACTGCCTTTTGGATATCTCAAATTCAACATGTCCAAAACAGAACTTATTATCTGTCTTTCCCTCCCCCCAGTCCTCCTCTCCTCCCAGCTTCCTTGTTTCTGTCCAGGGCACTACCCTCCTCTCAGGCCCACAATCTGTGTCGCCCTGGACTCCTTGATCAAGCTCAGCCCTCATTTCCAGTTTACCGCCGAATTGAATTGTTTTCTGTCTTCCCAACACCTCTCCTCCATGGTGGCCCCAAAACATGAGGGCAGTTTTAAGCTCTTGGAGTACTAAGACTTTTGGGACACCCTGTAAATAAATCCCCATTTCTCAACTCCCAGAGCCACGACCCTGGTTTATGCCCTCATTACTTTGGTCTTGGACCATTACAATAGCCTTCTAATTAATTGGTCTCCCTGCCTCCAGCCTTTCCATTCTACAATCCATCCTCTGCTAAGCTGCCAAAGCAATTCTTCTGAAGTTTGGCTATTTCACCTCTTGGCTTGATGAGCTCCAGGGGCTCCCTATTACCTCCAGGATCAACTAAAAACTCCTATATTTGGCATTGAAACTCTTAAATAAGCTGACCCCTTTCTACCCATCTTACTCCTTCCTCCCCTCCACCCCTTCTACAATCCAGCCACCTCATGCCTGCACACTCTGCTTCCTCACCATCGCCTCTTCATTCTCCTGGCTGTTTCTGTCAAGACTTAGCTCCAAAGCTTCTGCAGAAAGCCTTTCCCAGTCCCCTAGTTGTTAGTGCCTTCCCCTCCCCTATTACTTTCCATCTATTCTGCATATAACCTGTGTGTTCCTAGTTATTTACATGTTGTCTCCCCCATTAGAATGTAAGTTCCTTGAGGGCAGGAATCCTTTTTTTTTTAAACTTTCTCTGTATCCTCAGCACTTAGCACAGTGCCTGCATATAGTAAGTGCTTAATAAATGCTCATTGACTGACTGTTGACTAACTGGATGTATATCCATATTTAGGTAGGAAGTATATGCAAGTAAATTAACCTTTCCCAGGAGCACCCATAACTAGGTCCCTTCTTCAAGTGGGCTGGTGATATTACCATATCAATATTCTGGATAAAGGGTACCTGGGTCTGCTCTGTGGGTAGAAGATTAACATTCTCACTCACGTGTTCGGCCAATGTAGAGAAGAGGGGCTGAAGGGTAGAGCCCATCCCACGCCTCTGTGGACAGCATGGTCTGTTTCTTGCCTGACTTGGGGTCCACCATGAACCATGTATCCTGCTTCCTTCCTGTATGAGGGAAGAACAGCGCCCTCCCTTGAAATGTCCTATCCTCTACATTTAAAAAAACCTCTTTTTATACTTTGTTGCCAGGTATGGTGGCCCTTCTCATCCTCAAGGATAGAACTCGTTCCCCTCAGATAAGTTTCTCCACTCTCAGTCCCAAAGTCAGCAGGAGCAATCTGGTGTGGTCAGAACTGTGGAGTCTTCTGTGTGTGTGGGGTGTGCATGTGTGTGGGTGTTAGGTAGCCACCTAGAAGGGGTGGGGTGGGAGGATGAAATATGAGTGTTTTGAAGGCAGATATGAACTAAAGGATTCTCCCTACCTGTGTAGAAGACACCGTCTGAGCTGCGGCAAGGGGAGGCATGTACCAGCTCTGGGATGGTGAATGGGAGTTTCTGTGAGAGAATGGGAAGGAGGGATAGCTTAGCCTAGGCTGAGCAGGAGGGATCCTAATACATTCTGACTCTATCCACTCTGCCTCCCCTTAATGTTCCATAGGGGAGGTCCAGATCCTTCCTGTGTGGCAGAATCTGATACGTCCCCTTTCTTCTGGATTCAAATCCAAGTGAGTGCCTGTCACACCCATTCCCTGAAATCTCTCCCCAAATACTGCCTTGGCTGAGGGCTCCATCTCCACTGAAGGGCACCTACCATGAGGCCCTGTTTGCTCTCCTCTCCTAAGATGTACAAGCTGCCGTCACTAGGGTCAGGGAGGAAGGCTGGTCTGGGAAAGAAGAAGGAGTGGATGTTAGAAGTTCGGAGGAGAGATGGGAAGGCAGACCCTGAGGATTGCTACCAACCAGACTCTTGATGCCTGACCCAGAAGCCTGCCCATCCACCTTGCCTGGGGAAGGCTGTCCCTGGGAGATCATGCTTGTAGAGGTGGGAAGGTTATTTGATCAAAATCCTTTTCCTTCTGTCTCAAACCCAAACTCGTCCCTCCATTTCCCCTCCAAAATATCAGTTACTTTCATTTAGTTTCTCAGGTAAGCCTACTCTTTCCTCTCCTCCTCTCTTCCTTGCCTTAGAACTTTGTTCCTATCTTCTCAACACCTGTACCCCCAAACCTTACTTCCCTTTCCTCTCCTTTACTGTCCAAAACTCTGGATTCTCTTCCCCTACATTCACATCCCCAAATCCTAAAAATCATACGCTCTTCTATCTCAGAACTTTGTTCATCCTCTACTCCCTGTCTCAGGCCACAGTCACGAGGACAGGATACTTACTCCGTGGCATACACAGGACCCTGAATGATAGGATCTGCAGAAACAAGGATGATAAGTGATAAGTACTAAGTACTGCCCTCTCCACCTCCCAAGAATACACGCCCATATGCTGGCCATGGACAACTCTACTCCAGTCCCACATTTTGGAAGGTGTAGGCTGAGATGGGGAGTGGGGCCTCCTAGCCTGTTGTTACTCAAGTCTAGACCTGGGAACCCTTAGAAAGTAGGTAGATACCATTATTGCCACCATTCTGGAAGCATTTAGGGGACTCAATGGGTACCTTTCCCCCAGGGCCTGGCTCACCATCCTTCAGGGTCCATTGGATGTCACCAGTCTTCTTACTGACAGCATGCAGACTCCCATCCAGAGTGGATATGAAAAGCAAGGCCTCGGGGATGCTCCCTGTCCTTCCCTACAGGCCCTCAGCATGAAGAACAAAAATTCAGTGGAGGGTACCATGTGACCTTTGTCCCCCACCTAAACTCCAGTGGTTTGGGGCCCTCCCTAGGACAGTCTTCCAGGACCTTATTTTCTTGGATGGTTATCAGACCTGGTTAGTTGGAATGGAGTCTTGTTATGGAGACTGCTTTTGTCCTGGTAGGCCCTGCTTATGCTCTAATGAGGAAAACAACTTGTAAATGAATCGGTGCCAAGATACATACAGACAAGAAGAAGGGAATATTCCTCCCTGCTCCACCATGGAATCCAACAAGAAGCTACATAACTGAAGGGAATGGGAAAGGATGAGAAAAAGATAAGGGAGATGGAAGCCCTGAGATGTCTCTAAACTGATGGTGATTCAACAGGGATGCCTCTTTCTTCCCAATTTCTTTGGATTCTCCTCCTAGCCAGAGGCTGAAGACTTCTCTCCCTCTTGATGACATCTCTTCCTCCCTTCAAACTGGCCAGGCTGGTTTTGGTGCCAGGGAGCTACTGTGGCCACAAAACTGAGATGCATGGAGCTTGGGAGGGGTGAGCCCCCTGCAGAGGCTCCCATTACATCCGGCTAACCTGCTGGGCTCGCTTGCCTGCTGCTGCCACTGCCACCCCTCCCACTCCCTGGGCAAACAGGGCAAGGCTGAGTAAACAGCACGAGGAAGCACACAGCCCTTCAGGATCAGCACTCTCAGTCTGGGGGGGGGCAGGGAGAAGAGAACTCCATCTTCTGGCCATCTTCTTCCTCCCTAAGGCTATAACTGTTTTCTACTCTCACAGACTATTTCCCGACCCCACAAAAGTCCTGCTCCGTTCTAGAGGTAGCAGCATCCACATCCTTCCCCTTACTACGGGTTTCTTTCCTTCCTCTTTGGTTTCATCCCTTGGCCAACCAGGATGGAAAAATGTTTGGAGCCAGGACCCTGGACAAGATGGAAGCAGAGACCAGAATGGGAATTTAAAGGGTAAGATGGGCAGTTGACATTCAGCACCATGAGCCTTGGGAGAGGAATCATTCCTCATTAGAGTCAGTGCTGGTAGGGTTGGTATGGGGGCGGGGCAGGTATAGCTTGGGGGAGTGGTTCTTGGATTTCCCCCTACATTATGCCTTGGTTTCCCCTTAGCATTTCCTTGACTTCAAACCCATTTTTTTCCTTGTCCTCCCTCCATAAGAGGAAGAGAGATAGCCTTGCTAAATCTATCTGCCCTTGCCCATGTCTCCCTCGCTATTTGGAGCTCCTCTGCTATTGGCTATAGTCAGCTTTCTTTACAGTAATATAGTGACCAATGCTCTCACCCCAGGGATACTCATGCTCGCAACGGGGCTGGCTTCAACTCACTGAAGTAGAAATAACAGGGGCAGGGACACCACCCCCCCGGAGCCTCTTGCCTACCCCACATTCCCACCTGTTTCTAGTCTCAGGCTAGCTCTCGGGGAAGGGGTAAGCTTCTGAAGAGATAAGAGGAGCACGTCCAGAAACTGAAGTGCCCAAAGGGAGAATAATAGTCATACATCTAGAGCAGGAAGGGCCTTCAGGGAATCACCTGGGGCCAGGCTGGAGGTTTAGTTCCGGAGCTTGGATCCCTGTTGCCCCCACTTCTCAGTGAGATCGGGATTTGGCCGTACCTCCCACCTCTTATGCACGCAGCCAGCTGTGTTCTGGGGACATGGATACCCTTCACCACCTCCGATAACCAGCACTCAGATTCCTTAGCGGGGCTGGGGGCGGTTCGCGCCACTTTGGTGGAGGAAAGGAGCCGGAGCCGATTCCCCCTCCCTCAACCCCATCATAGTTTAGCTCGAGAACAAAGGCATTGCCCCCAGCGTGGAGCCTTCCCCAGGCAGGCCGATTGCCCAGGGGCCTCGGTTCCATCTCACCTGCGGCAGGCAAGGCCAGATCAGTGCCAGGAGGCAGAGCGGGAAGCCAGCTCTTTCCATCGCGTTGGGCACAGCGGGTGGCGTTGGCGGCGGCTGCCTGCGTGCCCGGCTGGCATGCTGCCCACCACCAAAAGGTGTGTTGGCAGGACTGGACTCAGAATGCTTTGGGCTCCCAGTGCTAGACCCAATGGCGGGAGGGGCGGAGAACCACCTCCAGCGAGGCGGATCTTGCCTTTAGTACCCGCCCTTCATTCTCAGACCCGGCTCTGAGGTCCCTGGGGTGGGAAAGTGAGGAGTGGAAAGGTAGGAGGATGTATGTCAGTCCGGGGGACTGGAAAGCAAGGCACAGAGCTCCGCCTAGGCTGGGAGGCAGCTTTTAAGGCTATAGCCGAGCACCAAGGCTTAGGGAATAGAAAGATGGATTTGAGTCTGTTAGACTGGTTCAAATCCTGCTTCTGAGTCATGGGCTTTGTGACTGGTGTGGGGGGGTTGTCATTTAACATCGTAGCCGGAGTTTTTCGGGTGGAATGTGGGAAGAGGGACACACTATGGTTTATCACTAAGATGCTGCTGCTTGTGCGTTTCCCCCTCAGGGCTGCGCAGAGCACTATTATACGTTGAGCCATCACCTTACAACCTTCCCTTCCAGACACCTCTCACTGGCAAATTAGGGAGAGGGGTGGGGTCTGGAAAAGGTCAGTATAATTCTTCCAGTCAGGGTGGTAGTAGTGCTTGATGCTATGTGAACGTGATGAGCAGCAATTCTAACCAGAATCGGAATTTGAAATCCCATCACTAGGGTCAGTCGTCATAAACGCGTTACTTGCAAAAATGCTCATGAGAGGAGGTAAAGCGAAGTAAGCCACTTGATATGTTGGGGGGAGGGGGAAGACGGAGATTGCTAAGGGAAGGTGCAGAAAAGGGACCGCGGTCAAATCAATAAGCATTATATTAAGCACCTCAGTGAAAAGTACAAACACAAAATGAAAACGTCCCTACCCTTTAGGAGTTCACATTCCGTGTACATCCGAGGAGATAAATGCAATCAGAGGTCAGGGGAAAATAAAAAAAACTAAGGAATGAGGGAGGGGGATGAGGAAGGGCTTTCCAGAGAGAGTGACACCTGAATTAAGCCTGGAAGGTAATGATTCTAAGAGGCAGAGGCGAGGAGAGAGCATATTCCAGGCAGGTGGCACAGGCTGAGCCAAGGTAGATGCAGAAGACAGAACATGGAGTTTGGGAAATAGCAAGTAAGCCATGTGGCTGGGAGGGTGAGAAGGGGAGCAATGGGAATTAATTCTGGGAAAGTGGGCTGAGCCAAATTTAAACGTCAAGAAGAGTTTATATTGTATCCTAAAGAGGCAAAAGGGAATCACTGAAGAACCTTGAGCAGGGAAATGATGTGGTTGGATTTCTGTTTTAGAAAGATTATTTTAAAAGGCTTTCAGAAGATACTTTGGGAAAGGTAGGAAGAAGGGTGCCCAGTTAGAAGGCTATTGCAATAGTGGCAGTTGCCGAGGACCTAAACTAGGGTGGTGGGCCTGTGAGCTTACAGAAATGCACAACTATAAGTCGTGGAAGCTGAATTAACAAGACTTTGTGATTTATTGGATACGGGGAGTGAGGGAGAGTGAAAATTTAAGGAAGAGAATAGATTGTAAATCCGCATGATTTAAAAGAAATGGTATCTTCAACCGAAAGAAGGCTGGAGGAAGGGGCAGTGGGATAACATTGTAGATGCTAACAAAACACTTAATTGATCTCCAGTGAGTCACTGGTGATGAAGGTCTAATGCTCAGGAAAGAGACTAAATAATATAGTATAGACACGGGAGTTATCTGCATAGGGATACGTGTAAAAGGTTGTGTAGAGCATGAACAACACGTTGGGTGTACGGCAGGATATGGGTATGTCAGGCTCAAAGTGGTCATACAAATAGGTGAACCAAGAGATAGTAAAATTGGAAAGAACATCTATTTAAAAGTCAGTGCCAAAAGCTGCAGAGAGGGCAAGAAAGGTAAGGCCAAGAGTAAAGGGCAGATTTAGCAATTAAGAGATAATTGGTAATTTTGGAAAGAGCTATTTTGGGTGATTGGTGGGGCAGGAAGGCAGAAGTGAGTGAAAGGTGACCTAATGGAAGCAAATGGTTTAGGTTTGTTAGGAATGTGGCTGCGGAAAAGAGAGGACTAGAGTTTAGGGACATAGAAAAGTCAAGTAACAGTTTAAAGATGGGGGAAAAAACCTGAGCACATTTATAGGCTGCAAGGAAGGAATCTGTAGACAAGGAGAGATTTAAAAATAGGAAGCAATCAACAAAGCAGGCTCCAGGATATGGGATCAAAGGACACAAAGTAGAGGGGGCTGGCCTTGGCAAGGTAAGAGCCACTTGCTGACAAAAGACTGAACTAAAGAATGAGGTAAACAGTTCTGGGGTGCAGCAAACAGGGTAATAATAAGATAGCTTCTATTTTTTTTCAGTGAATTATGTGGTAATCTCTTCAGTTGAGGAAGGACAGGGTGGTTTAGACTCTTGAGGCAAGGAGGGGAAACTTATGGGGAATTTGATGGAGGTTAGGCATTGTATGGGATAAACCAGACAGGTCAGGTCCTACCAAGAAGAATCAACCAGAACAGTAACAGATCCAGTTTTGCCCACAGGTTATAGTCTACCTGCAGGAAACTATCTCAGTGAGAACTGGGCTCAGAATCAAGGGATATAGTATGGTTCAGGGTCTGTATCGCCCTTCAATCCAACTTGGCCAACAATGGTCACAGAACAGGAGGGTAGCAAGCAGAGGCCCCCAAACAGAAAGAACTGGGCACTGTAAATGACGAAGGACAAAGCCCTGAACCTTATTGACTTTGCTGTTTTCCCCAGGCACCAGCATCTACATAAGAGACCAAGAGAAGGGGAAACTTTGACTTTGGTCCCCAGGGGTTTCTTTCACCATTGTCTAAGTGTTCCCTGATCACTAACCTCACCTATAGGTACCAAGTCTCCTCACCCATGAGCCTCTTTGGTTCTTTTGTGCAGATGCCTCATCTGAATCCTGATTACATATCCCACTTTTTGATACTGCTACCTGACCAAATCCTTCCCTTACTTCCTTTTCCTTTCTATTCTCACCATACATTCCAGGCCACAATAAGGTGTTTTCTAGGGTTTATTTATGTAAGGGAAAAGAATACAGACTCAAAGATATTTATCAGTACATAAAAATGAAAACTGTCACAGATTATGCAGTATCTAAGCTTTTCTAACCTAATCTTTAAAGTTCTCTAGGATGAGAATCCTCTTTAAGAGGATGCTAGTACACTGGCTAACTATATTTATGGCCCCAAATTGTTCAATTTGGTCACCTTTGGTCTTTGTAACATGCTAATTGGTCCACTTTTTTTTTTTTTACCCAAGTCCAGGCTCAATTGGGAAACCTCCTGATGGCGTGGCTGGCTTATTGTGTCCCATTTCTCTATACTCCTTTCCCCCCCTCACCCCCACCCTACAGTTATTAAATCTGCTCTCCCTTTTACCTAGGGAAGACCAAGTAAATATAGCATTCAACCCAACACCATTTACCCCCTAAGTTCATAAAAGAGCTTTCTTTACAGGCAGACAAAAGATTCAGTCTCTTACTAGTAAGAGACAGAATTAGAGATGGCTTCTTGTCTTCCCTGACATTAATCTCAAAAGTTTAGAAAGTCCTCCCAACACCTCCAGCTTTCTTTAATAACCCCTTCATAAATCTGCCGTTATGACAATCAAACCTTCTTGGACCCACCTCTTTGGGACTTGAGTTGTAGAACTGTTTTCCACTTACCTAACTCAAGCCCTACGTTGGGCCCTCACTCTAGTGTCTAGGATTCAGATACCGGTTTCTCGTTCCTAGCCCCTTCACGGTATCAGACTCTCATCCTGCCCCTTCAATACCCTACGTTTATGGAGACTGAAGAGGTTTCATCCCTCGAGTCTGTCCTCCACCAGTATTCACCTCCCATCCCTTTCCCTGTTGGTCACATTTGGAGACTGCTTCTGGTAATAAAGCACTGCTAGCCGGCTGGGAGGGGTCATGCTGACAGCTCTGACTGACCTGGAAGGGGGGAAGGAGAGTGATCTAATTATAATCTGCAGCTCAAACTGAGAACCTTTCTTAACCTTGCATAGAAGCAGGCTGGAATAAGAGAGAAGTGGAGTGGTGAGATCTTTAAACGGAAAACTAGGCCCTTTTAAGTCAAAGGCTGGGCATTTTTATGAAACCAAAGGTACCAAACTTCAATGCACTCTTATGTTCAGATTACCATGGCAAAAAGAATATGGTAACAGAATGTTTAACCTGTAGTTATTAGCAGGCACCACTTGTGATTTCATTTACCCTACTGGTCCACAGTTTTAAGGGTTCCTTAAGGGAAGAAGGCAGCTAGAGGAAAGGAATGTTGCATTTTCCTCCTCTCTCTCTCTATATATACATACACACCCCCCCCCACCAATTTCAAGAAGGTATGGGAACCTTGGCCCATCCCCCACCTTTTCTAGTAGTTATAAAAATATATATGTGAAGGGTAAATTAAAAAAAAAAAAAGAATGTATCTTGGAAGAGTGTGTGGCAGGGGAAAGAATATGAAGAGGAACCAACAAAGAATTATGGTGAGAAAAGGTCAGACAATAAAGAGATGGTTTTTCCACTTTAGCCAATCATAGATTCATTAGTAAACAGAAGAAATTGGAAAGGCTGAAGACTAGTTGATGAAAGCCTTTGATATTGGTGAAGTGGCTAAAGGGCTGGGCCTGGAGTCAGAGACCCCAAGTTCAAATCTGGCCTCAGACACTTTACTAGCTGTGTGACTCTGGTCAAGTCACTTAGACTCTATTTGCCTCAGTTTTCTTATCTGTAACAAGGAGATAATGATAGCACCTACCTCCCAGAGTTGTTGTGAGGATCAAAGGAGATAATATTTGTAAAGTACTTAGCATAATGCCAGGCACATAGTAAGTGCTATATAAATGTTAGGTAACTACTACTACTATTATTATTATTATTATTATTATTATTATTATTATTAGTTTGAGGAGGTTATATTTAGAAGGACTGGAGGAACAGAGTATGGCTGACAAACTATAAGGTTAAAATATCACCAATATCCTAGAGAAATTTACCTGCCTCTTTTCAATA